ATATACATACATACATACATACATATATATATATATATATGAGCGATGGAGATGCTAAGAAGCGCATAACAACAGTGCATTCTCCCAGTATTTCTGTTCGTCAAAATGTCGTTGCCATTCCGTAGCTAATAGAATGTGGTCATTCGCTAAGGGCGAAGAACACGGGTAAACTACTTGAGTTATGCCATATTGCAAATTATCGTTTTTGTAACAGTAACAGGTTTGACAAGAGACTGTCTGGCGGCCTAGAGTAAGGAAGCTGACATTTCTTTGAATCGCCGTTGTTGCAGTCCAGGTCTTCAAACCTCCAATTACTATTTGACTATATGATAAGATGGTTGATACCAGTTGAGGTGCAAATTTTCGAAACTGAGTTCTGCAGTGAATAAGTTCACCATTGAAGGCTGATCACAACGCGGCAAAGGAACCTTTTCAAATGTGCTTTTTCGATGCGAGCCTTGGGAACAACGCAAATATATCTGGCTAATAATCAATTGGCCTTGATATGTTAGGATTAATCGAAAAGTAAATAAGAAAGATCTTTGTTTATCTATAAAATGGAAGGCGTGTCTTTGGTTAAGGTTCGGAACGAAGAAATGTGGTTTACGTTTCATGGCGCACATTTACTAAGAGATCGCGCTGTCTGAATGGACAAATATTTACATACCTCTGTTTTTGTGGAAGCTTGACGACTGCCAGACTGAGAGACCCTAGCAGGCACTGTCGGCGTAAATGTATTTTTGGACAAAAATACCACACCATAAAATATGATGTCTAATCTCGATTCTGCCGAATGAAAAAATTACAGGCAGTCATACTATTAGAACTAGGAATCTCTAAACAAAATTATCCTGTGGCAGTCATCGCAACGCGCGATTTCCAGGGATTTCACTATAAACTGGATTTTCGCAGTGGGTGGTGCCATGAATTTGATGCTGTGTTGACTGAACATCGCTCTGCTAATCCACAACAGCTAGTTCGTTAAGTATTTGAGACGTGGTACCTTTAAGCGGTTTGCTTATACTTGTATACTTATACTTAGTTTTCATATTACTAATTATATGTATTATAAAAACTAGGTACTAGCGGATGAGAGATAGAGATTCGGCGAAGTTACCTTAGTGACATTAATTATTGTTTTAAAATTTTAATAGATAGCGTTTTTCATGCACTTACGTCGAGACAGAACATAGAAAAAATCTTCTCGGATACCTTTTTGTGCTTCCCGAGGAGTCTTTAAATAGATTCGATGTAGTCTAGCACAAGTCAAAGAATTTTGGGTGTTTTCGCCTAACTCGCACTCATACTTTACGAGAACGCCTCTTTGTTTATCAACGTTAATTCGCAATACTATTATATACTACTACGCAAATCTGGTAAACGAGTCAGGATTATATTTAGTATCTTTTATCATTCAGGGTTCTTATCGTACATCGCGTTTATGCATAATTTACAGCCTTTTTTTTGGGTCCTTACTTATGAAGAATACTTAGTCAGCTTTCCTTTTGTTTTACTTCCAATGTTTATGATCCCAATAACACTTAATAATAGCCTTGATATTAGCGAATAAAGGGGATATTTCATTTACCTTGACGATAAACATCGGCTGTGCGTATTTAATGAATTCTTAAAATTGATGCTGCTGACATTATGAAATCATTGATTGGCCTCCATGAAACGAGTAAGCAAAAAAAAAAACGAATAAAGTCGCGATGCGAGAGAACGAGCAAACTAGCAAAGAAGTGAATAAAAATCACGTTATAACTATCTACTAAACCAACACAAATCAAGGATAAAGCGTCCATGTAGTGGGTACGAATATCTTGTACCGTTGATTGCTTCATCTCTGGCACCGAAAATGCTCTAGGCTGCTATAGATAAAACGAAAATGATAATGGCGCTATCAAGAGCACTCTATACTGCTCGTGTAAATGTCTGCTTGAACAAATATGCAGGAGGTGCTAGTCGGGGGGTGACGAAAGTGCTACGAACAGCTAATATATGTATTGGTCGTCTTATATCGTCCTGACGTTGGGCAGCTTTGCAGTATTATAAGACCTGCACTCTCTGTAAGAGTTGATACTATACCAGTCGACTGCTTTCCGTGTGCGGAAGATTAACTCTATTGGTCCGGTCAGCCTAAACTGAAAGTCTTCACAGTCTATTACTATCCAGTTTCGTTTTTGCTACAATTATGATTCCATGCGTAAAAGGTTTAGCGACGAAACTTCGAAGGCAGTCTCGTCAACCTGCGCCGAATAAAAACGTGGTGCATTTATGTTTTAAATGATATTAATATATTACAAAGATGAATATATTGCTACAAGATTAATAGTACAAAACCCTATGCAGCAGTACAGGGCCGTGTTTTTTTTTGCTGACCTGCACATTAGAGAAGTTTGGATACGTATGCAGATGAATGGAGTAAAAACACCTTTACAATATATATTACAAATTTGCGGACTAATTACATATGCCCGAAGATAAATAATTAAATACCAAATAAAGTAGTGGTGATATTCTACTATATATATACTATAGATACTATATATATATAGAATAAATTATTCACAATATTCAGGTTTATACCTTGATCACGACTGGCTTTACTACGGTCATTGTGCATTATTATGTCGCCCTTGTGTACAGAGAGAACAGCGCCATAGCTCCAGAAACGGCTCAAGCTTGGCGCTTTCCAATAACAGTAGCAACCCGGTGTGGCGTATACTGGCATAACGTCTGCAGAAAATGCTAGAAGCATTTTTGTAATGAATATCTGAACACAATTTTCTAATTTGTTATTAGGTCAGTCTTGCTCAGACGATACGCCAGAAGTTAGATTGTCACCCTAGAGTCAACAAGTTGTTTTGAGGCTGGCCTATTATGCGCGCAAATTGTACGAGCTGCTTTCAGCCTCAGTGCCGGATTCTCTTTCTAGTTTCCATTCATTGCGGTCGTTTCTACTATTAATTTTCAAGACAAAAGTCATGGCACCGAAATAGGCACACAAACGTGAGAGTGGAAGAAAAATCGATATATAAAGATAATGTTTTCGGACGACAATGGATGGATGGATGGACGAATGAACGACCAAGCACTAGGTATGCTGCGCTTATGCGGATGAAGTTTGTTGTTACGAAACTTAATATACAACCAAAGCAATGGATGCAAACGATATTACCAGCGACTGTTTCTGACTGGCCAATTCGTCTGGCCGCGCCAACTGAAAACACTCCTGTTACTGCCGGGGGCCGAGGAAGTGATGTTGATACTGGTTGAAATCACAAAAGAAGACCGCTAGTGAAAACAACGCTACCTAGTTAACAAGAAATTGACATCGCCTGTAATGTGTCGTCTATAAGCGTAAAAAACAGACGACGGGGGAAAAAAGGAAATTACTTTGCTTGGCGAAAAAAACGGTACGATAACAGCTATGACGATTACCCACGCAATTCCCGTATCCCAACTCCCCATAAATCGCCATGCGTCGAACTTTTTAAGGTGTTTTACCGATTATTGATGCATGCTACTGCTGCTGCTGCTGTCAGTAACACGATGCTGAACGTCGTTGTTGACGAATGTGTGCTTCATAGCATGTCGAGCATTTCGTACAAAACCGTTTGCACTAATTAAGAACACATTCTCTTCGACGGTAGATACTAAGCTAACTATATCGTATGAATAGGGTTTTTTTTGAAAAAATGTTACTCGCGGGTACCGCTTGCAAAAAATTCAGTTCCTTAATCACCTATAAGGAAGACAAGCCAGATCAGGGATGTAGTTGGAATTGTCAGTATTATTAATTTTCAGTCATTCGTAATAATATTGGGGTAAATAGAGAACACCATTTCATCCAATACCCGGCAACACGATATACGTACTGCTTTCGAATTTAGGCTGACTTATCTAAGAAATTAAACTGGAATATTGAACAAGTGCGCAGGAAATATGGTTGGCAAGTTCTCAATAATCTTTTTTGACCTCACAAAAAATTGTCACTAGATGAAGTCCAATAAATACACACATCAAATCTTTAAATATGTACGATTATTGACTGATTGAGTGTTACAAGAGAACAATTAATTTAGAGGAAAAGATACCGCTAAGTGATGAAAATTGACGCTTAATCATAGTCATCAAGTTTTAGTTTCTCGAAGCTGATAGTATCTGTCGAAAATTGGTAAGGAGGCCTTTAGTGAAACTATAGATCATTTTAGGAATATAAATTACAGGGTTGGACATTACGCAGGAGATACGCACATTTTAGTACAGCAAACAGAGGAAGGAGTAGCTATAATTATAAAAGTTTTTGAGGAAAAATAATTTTGAGCAACGCGTTGCGTGCAGGTAACATGTTAAGCGCTGGTTATGAAATTCTAATAAAAACTGAATATGAAGAAGAAAAGCAAAAAATTCGTTTCTCTAAAATGGAAGGCGTATAGAATTATCTGTAATGCAATTATTTCTAGCGAAGGGATTTGGCTGAGGCACACAGCCACAATAAATGAGATACGGGTCAATCTATAACGCCAATAAGAGAACGATCAGGCGATAAAATATCGTCTAACACAGTGAGACGGTAGCAAACATAAATAGATTTGAGCATAAAGTAATGCTTATCTTCGCAACACAGAATGGTTACGCGATGGTATTACACGATATTGTCTGACAGTTGTTGAGCAGCTTCAAGAGCACCGATTTCAATGTGTAAATAACAAAAAGTAACGCATCATATATATATTAGCTCGAATTAGCGAATCCTGGCCTCTCAAATAGAGGCGCAAATACTATAGCTGCCGTATCGGTCCAACTTCTTAAGTATTCTTAATACAATATGTATTACAGAATACATATTGGGTTGCGTTTTGCGTTTTGTTTATTTGTTCAACATATTCGCCCACATACCAGCAATTTTGGTCGATATCTAACATTTACTTTAATAATAATTATTAACATGCTTTAGAACTTTAGAAATAAATATACAGGTTACTCTCAGAAATAAAAATATGTTCTTAAAAAACTTAATGTTTTGCAACTAATGGAATCCTTTTATACCTAATAATAAGAACAGGAATAATTACATTTTGTTAATTAACTACGAATCGCCTTCTGGAGCATCGCAAACATAAAATTAATCTCAAAATTTGAACTTCGTTATCTTTTTACGCAATGTATGTATGGTATCCTTATTTTAAAGTTAGTTCAAACATTATTAAAAAATTATGAAACTTTCTAATTTAATATAACTAAAAAACTATATACGTATGCTAAAAAATAAGGTAGCGAGATTTACGCACGTTCGATACCCGCTACACCACTAATTGGCTTTCAAAAGCCGTTAGCTTCGTTCGTAGATCGTGATATATTTTGCTAGCACAAAGCAATAACAAAGACATTATAGTTCACCACGCCATCGGCACACTAACTCATAATGCACAAATGATGGCTACCTGCAGGTTAAATGCACATTCAAATAGATATAATAAGAATAGGAAGGAGGTTTATAGTAGCGTAGCTACTATCGTGTTATGTCTCTAGTGTTCTCTATTAAAAAAGTGATAATACAACAACAAGTTATCACTTAAGGATTCACTTTCATAATTTAATACCAATAGAAATACGAATCGTTTTTCCGTGTTATGGGCCATTTGTATTTGTTAATGAGCGAGCCATCACGTGATACTTACATCTGAGCCACATACAACAGGCAAATGGCGTCGATAACATAGCTACCGTCGACAAACTTAAATGGAGTCGAAACGCGCGACTGAAGGTAATAAGACACAATCCGATCTGCGTAGTACATGGTTCCACTATAGTAGTTATACGATAACTCTGCGCACCCGAAAAGTGAAAATCGCATCAAATGCCGTAAACGCCCCCAATTAGTAGCGACTACTGATTAATTAAAGAGTATCTCGTTTTCCAATAAAGGAGATTTATATTGTATAAGCTGCAACATGTCCGTTATAGTGCCTTTCTTCTATAAACAAGCGTTGAAGTTTACCGCATCTTTCTTGCACAGAAGCTTTATGCGGTATATAGCAGAGATCGTGAAAGACGCGTAGAAAAATCACCCTTCAAAAATAAGCTGATGCTCACTATACAAAGTCAAGCAGCCAGTTATTAACGCACGTCATTTTTATAACGCTCAACCACGTGCTGCTTGCCTCTGGACCTCTACCTTTATCAAAATCATCATAAACAACATTACTGATTTAGTCATCGCCGTCAGCGTTTCCACCAAAGATGCCCTTACAAGAAGGGTTGGCTTTCATTTGGAGGTTTAGCTATATGCAACTATGTGCTGGTGTTATTCGTGGCGACGCTGCAAGGGAGTTTTGAATTAAGATGTGTGCAGGTTTACATTTAGATAGTGACGCCCGCCATTGAACCTACGTGCCCGCCCGTCCGTTGGCCCGCAATATGGTATCTGCCGCAACGGCGCCGTTGCCGCTGCCGTTAGCTACACTTCAGCTTGTGTTCCGTTCGTTACCACGGATTGACGAAGTGGCCGGTTCGTCATAGAGACACACATTGACGACAATAACGGTGACGCCGAAAAAATCATAGAAGAAAATTACTTTTTTAAAGGACTTCGGCAAAATGTGCTCATCCAGACGATAAGATGAACAGCTACTTTAGATTTCTCGTGCTATAACTTAGCATGGATAGACGTATTTCTTTCGAGACATTCAAGAAACTCGCTGGTCAACATCAATCGTTACACTTGTTATTACAGAAAGGAGTACAACGACCAAGTTGACTCTCTTGAAAGCTTCTGGCAAAAGCGAAGAAGCTATATTGTTCGTTGTAGCGTGTGCTTCTTGCATGCTGTCGAAATCTAAATAAAATAAAACAAAAACCTGGATATTATACAAGTCTAGCTTAAATGTTATTATGCATCATTTACTATTCTGGTTAATAGAATAATTATTCTGGTTACTTGGCAGTTCCCGTTTTCAGGCTTCTACTCAAGTTCTACGTGTTTACGCACTTTAGCAGTATCTTATGGGGTCTAAACGGAAACGCTCTTAATAGATCGTAGTGACTGCCTCGGGCCAGTTTTAAAAATATCGAATGAATTTGTCAAGCCAAATAGTGTATTGGGACCTGTAACGGAAACAAATAAGTCGAAAAAAACATATTTGAATAGGTTGAAGAAACAGTGTTTTGATTCGAATTTTTTGCAGATATAGCTAAAAAAAAAAAACTTCCAGCAGCCCTATCTTCGAGTAACAGTATATACATGCCGTACACACATATGCATGAATGCAACACGTTATTGTATCGTTCGATAAACAGTACATATGATATAAACAGAAATTTAGCAGGTTTTTTACGAGCCATCAAAGCGCGGCCACATCGGCATTTGGTCATATTTTCTTAAATCTTCTGCAGTGAAAAAAACTTGTCGAAATTTGCATTGGAACTCATGCATTTTTTAACTCGACAATAAAGCCGTAAATTATTACTTTTAATAAAATTCGTCAAGTTTGTTAAAATGAGCTTAGCAAAAAATAGCACAGAATTAAATAGTTAAAAGAAAAACACACAATATTCACTTTTAATCTGTTTCTGATTTCCGCAATGTCTATTTTAGGAGACGTGGGACAATGTACAGTGTTGGTCGTGCCTAGAACTATGTCTCTGGAGTAGAAAGGCTTTTATCCGACTGTAACGGATGTCTAAAGGAAGTTCACATTAATTCGGAAAAACAGAGGGACAGGGTTGAGAAGTTCAGTGAGAACAACTACTTCCCGAAATGTCGTGCTGTGACTTCGGCGTCTGGTGTAATCCTCTTATGTGGCCTTCAAGGTAAGTACTTTAGCATCTCATCTGTACTTTAGCTTGACCATAGCTTGACAAATATCGGCTCTTTCAATATAACATGCATTGCGCGATCATTAAGCATGTATCAAGCGCTACCTGTACCAAAAATTCACTTACAATGCTAACGAATTTCATGGGTTTTCACATAATTTTAAAATATTGTTTCTTAAGGGATTATAAGAAGTAAATGCGATTGTAATTTGCACACTATTCCTGCTCAGCTAAGCTATTAGGAGGCAAATATGGTATCTTCACATAATCAGTATCGGTGGGCCTTAAGAAAGCATAACCTTAGCGCTTTTAAACACCAGTTCTTGAAACAATTGTCAATACAAATTAGCTGCATTTATGATTCGAGCTCAAAATACTTCATTTACATGTTTTGAACACAATCTTTAAATGTTCGTTTAAATGTGTTGACGCACTAAATATCTTCAAACACTTTTTACTGAATATTGACCGAAACTATATATTGTACTCGTATATGCAAAATTCACTATAGTCCTTGTAAATTTTTGTTTTCATAATGGCATAATATCAGCTTTTTGCCAATTAATCTTAGGAACACAGAGAGTTAGATATAATTTGTTCTGTGCTAAAGACTAGCCGTCTGTTTAACGGATGTAAAATTTAAATATTACTTATTAGCCTCGGTAGATTGATATCATTTAATTTAGATTTAATAAAATTACACTTCAGTGAATGTTTTGACAAAAATTAACTTCTAAGCACTGACTTGAAAAGATTAAAAGGCGAGTATTTAGCACTAAAATGCGATAGTGGCAAAACAAATTGAGGCTTAACGAATAAGACCAATCAGTTCGGACATTTATTTGGAACCCTTTATTGACATTTGACCAGTTTGGTACGGAAGAATACCTTACACTTAGAGGCATGCGTAATCTCAAGAGCAGGTGTTTTTTATCCTGGCCACTGGCATTTAAACAATTGAAAATGGCGCCATAGCGCTTTTTCGTTATTATTATTCGTCCTTCTATGTTGCAATATTATACAACTACTACTTGAAGAGTATCGACCATCCGTTGAACTTCATTAAACTTTTTCAGTTGAGAACGCTGTCAGGTTGATGGTAATAAGTTTTTTGTCTTTATCGCGTGGTTTTCTAAAATGCAATAGGAGTACAGATGAGGCTTTTGACTCTGTTGCTTTTGCTATCTATTTATATCGATTTAAAGCCATGACTCTAACCGAATAACGTTTGAATGCAAATCGTGCGCAATGTTGGCAATATAATCATCACTATACGATGTTGATGTACTGACTACATTACCTGCAAAAAGAAGTAAGTGTCTACTACTACCACCTCTACCTCGCAGTATCCGCCTGCCTCCCCACCGGTTGCTAAACAAGAGTTCAAGTTAAAGCAGCCAGCAATGAGGGAAAAGACGCCCGCTTCGTGCGGCCGTTTAGCTGGCTCATCTTTGGCGTCCTTCAAGAGGTCATATATCTCTGAAAAATAATTTCTGTTTCCTTCTTGCTGTATCCCATATAAAAAGGTGATTCGTTCACTAAATATTTTTCTGTATTTGCAGGCAAAGTACACTCTAATTTTAGAATTACGTTCAGATGTACTTAAGAACACATAGAATGGACATTTATAATTACTGTTATCTTATTGCAAAAACTGCCACCCTGTTAGACCTGTTCACGTGAGATGCGACCGCACTCAGTCTGATCGTTCGAGGGACTTAGACAACTGTTGCAGAGTGATCTGTACACCCTCAAATGAGGAGTAATCAACGAAACAGCCCAGGTGACAGAAGTCCACGCGTAGAAATTGAACTCTTAACGCATTATATATATGTGGGAAAATTTTGCACACTCAGTTAATCATATATTAACCAATACACGAAAAATGGTTTGAGCTTCAAAATAGTTTCGGAAATTACCATTGCCTGAATAACAGATCTGTATAATGTAACCAACCATTACTATATTAAGTTGTTAGCGGTCACGACCCGGCTGCTAAAAAAACAGAGGTTCCCGCCTAAATTTAAACACATTGAATCAAACAGATAACCAAACACCTACTGCTAAGCGGGCCCTCTATTGAAACTGTCGTCTGTTCACTTCTTGGGCGCAACTTAAAATCAATGTGACGCTATCAAAACGAAGTTTGGAACTGCCTTAGTAACGCCTCTACAATTCTAATGGCTAAAGCAATCGTTGTTGGCGTCGAAAAGGAAGTCTGGTGAAAACTACCAGATGAACTTGGGTTTTGCGGAACGGCTTTTAGTCACCCCATTTGGGGTGCGACAGAGCGAATCTACATCCGTCATGTGAATTTTGCATAACGACTAAACATATTCGTAATTTTTCAGGGTTGAGCATATTCAACACATAATCAAAAACGAAAAATCGTCCCTCTATTGGTCTTTTTTTTGTCGATCAGGTAGCGGGTAAGACCTTAGTGGCTGTCCTTATCGTTTCAGCTTCCGACGATATCTGTTTTCCACCTTACTATTGTTGTTATTAGTTTTGTTATTGAAGTTAAAAAGGGTTTGTTGTTGAGCAGGAGTTTACAGCAGTCGTTATTTATTAATATCAATAGCTGTGGTAAAGGGTAAAACCATCTGGACGCGACACTGCAGAGACGCTCATATTACAGTTATTTCGATAACTATTTGCTGCTGATACCGATGGTCACGCTGGCAATATTATACCACATTTTGCTCTGTGGATCGGATCGCGATCGTCGCAGGTGACGCGGTCATCCTTGTTTCCTAACGTAGCTACACACGATGGTGTTGATGTACAGCTTTGTGGACGGTACATGTATACATATGTATGTACATATGTGTACATTCATATATGCTACTAAAACTGCTGTTAATGGTGATGATGCTGGTATGATGTTTCACAATGATGCTGTTGTACTTCTTTGGCTGCTATAGCTAGAGCTGTTGATGTGCCATTGTTTCTAAACATTACGGCGATGATGATTATGATGCTGTTGTGCGATTTGGGGCATCTTTTAAAGAGAACAGCCCCTAGACGAGCACTTGTAGCAGAAGCTGTGGACGTAGAAGTCGGGGACCCTCCCATCCATTCTCATAATTTCGCTCAACGTTGTTCAAGGCCGAAGAAAGACAGCGTTGTAGCTTCTTCACACGGAATGGTTTGCAAAACGTCGCAGAGCTCCGATCGGCGATGTATCAGAGCGGCTCACTTCGTCGGACGATCAATCAGTCGGAACCTTTGAACGCCGGGACTTCAGCGCTACAAGATGGCTAGTTTAGACAAGTAAGAGCACTTACTATTGTATGGGTCATCGTTCTTCGAGTACTTTAACTAGTCCTGTGCTTCTTCAAAAGACTCAATGTCCGACAACTAGAATATAGTAAATGAATTAAACCGATTCTATTGACTGGTTGTAATGAAAGCGAATACCCGAAGCGTCTCGTTATAATTGTTAATATAATGTACAAATTTAGAAAAGTTATCTGAAAACTGGTAGACCAGACAGAGACCTAAAATGTTCGATTTCATACGTAATGTCCAATTCTGCATGTGAGTTACTAGCAGCAGTCCTTAGCCTAAACTTCGCCGATTAACTGACGACTAAGCTACAAGTGTGTGGGAGTGCAGTATTTTAGGAGTCACGTTGCCAATCATAGCCGACCGACTGGCTTATTAATCAAACAACCAGGTATGAGTTATATCGATATAATTTGTAAAAAATTAATTATCATTATATCTATTAATATGTGCTGCTAGATGCTAAAATTGCTCCAGCCATGAAAAGTATGTCAAATAGTCAGGGCCACTATGTCCCATTCGAATAAATCTGCTGTTGATGCCAAAACCAGCGAACCTAGTTTCCTGGTCCTATTTTTACTGTCAACTTGTTATTATTTCAAGGTTTGTTTATCTAGTTAGCTATCTATATAGTTATATACTTATAACTGTAAAAAAACTTAATAGAACTTTGCATTTATGAGGTGTAAACTTATTAATTAATACAGAACCAGATATAACGACATTTCAACCGTAATTTGGTTCATGATATTTTTACTAAAAGTAACCTATACTCTTGTGAGTTACGCAAGGCAGTAAATGTCACTACTCACTCATAACGTAGAAGATTCTGAAGAATCTAGTCCTCAATAAAATGTTGTAAAAAGCTAGTGAACTACAATAATTTTTTGTTTACGAGCACAATATCTGCCATCACTTTCTTGCGTTGTAATATATGCAAATTGAATATTATTATTACAGCTGAGTTCGGCTTTGTTTATACAATCGGACACTACTTGAACAAAGATGAAGCTAGGCTTCTCATTAACTCTGTTGCTTCGTCAAGACGCAGACTACACCAGGTCCCTATAATTTGAGACTCGTACCTTAAATGCCTTGCGTAAACTTCATCTTTTCAATCTGATGTTTATGTCAAAGGTCTTGGACGTCTTAATTTGACCTCCAATCGAAATAAATCTCTCTTTTTTGCTCTTAAACTGGGTCAACTACATTACTCTACATTATAGGCGTTTTTCAAGCCTTAGCTTTGTCACAATAAAACCGTACCTATATAAATGTGTTTAGGTATGAAAACTAACAAAATAAGTTTTGAATTGAGTTTCTTATACATTTCATTGTTGAAATTAATATCTATGTACCTTATAAGCACTATCGGATCGGATGCTGACCGCGACCTCTATAACAAATTAACGTCCATAAGTATTTCTACCATGAAAGAGTCAGGCAGCTCCGGCTGTAATGAAATCTTTGATTACGTACGTCCTACAGCCTAGTTTGTGGCACAAGCAATGTTTAACTTAGGTCTTTCAAATAGTTTGGGTAATAAGGAGATAGATAATCGTATAAATCATATAACCTGCTTACTAAATCTGATCATAATCGTCGTTTGGACGACGAAGCCTTTGGTTGAAAAGAAGCCACTAGTCCAAGTCCCTACAACAACACATAATACATAACTCATGTGAATAAAAAAAAACGTTAAAATC